ACTATTTTATATGAGGGACTTGAGCATCTTTGGATTTTAGTATCCTTAGGGGTTTCGGAACCTGTCCCCTTGGATTGGATAATGAGGGAAAACTGTAATTGGTTCTATTCATCACAGCTGGACCTTTCCTTATATGATGGATACTACATGTTCCATATATACTTGCAAAGTTAGCCAACTATGAAGTTAGAGGGTACAGTAATCCATACAAGACCACCCTTACTTCTGACACCAGCTGTAAATTCAGGGATACCCAGGACTGCCCTTAGGGCCGATAATTTTTTTTTTTTTTGAGACGGAGTCTCACTCTGTCATTCAGGCAAGAGTGCAGTGGCGTGATCTTGGCTCACTGCAACCTCCACCTCCCAGGTTCAAGTGATTCTCAGCCTCCCAAGTAGCTGGGATTATAGGCATGTGCCACCATGCCTTGCTGATTTTTGTATTTTAATAGAGACAGGGTTTTACTATGTTGGCCAGGCTGGTCTCAAATCTGTGACCTCAAGTGATCCACCTACCTCGGCCTCCAAAAGTGCTGGGATTACAGGTGTGAGCTGCCACACCTGGCCAGGTTTGATAATTTGCTGAAAAGACCCATGGAACTCAGTGAAAGCTGTTATACTCACAGTTACAATTTGTTACAGGAAAAGATTAAAATCAGTCAAGGGAAGAAGGAAATAGGCAGAGTATGGGAAAGTGCCAAACTTGCAGCTTCTAGTTGTCCTATCGCTGTGGAGTCATGGAGAGCAATCCTGGCAACACTGTGTGACGATGCATACAGAGTACTGCCAACCAGTGAAGCTCAGCACAGCCTCAGTGTCCAAAGTTTTTACTGGGGCTCCATCAAATAGGCCTGATTGCCCACGTGACTGAGCTCAGTTTCCAGTGCCTTAGGAAGCTGAGCTGATGCTTGCTGCATGACTCAAAGCCCCTACCCTAAATCACATTGTTACTGTCTGGGCAGCCAAAGACTCCCTGGCAAACAAATAAACTCCTATTAGCCATGACACTCAAAGGCCTTAAAAATTACCACCCTGAAACTGAAGTTAAAGGTTAGGCCTCTCATTTGGCAAGGTTAAATTTTTTTTTTTTTTTTTTTTTTTTTTTGAGACGGAGTCTTGCTCTGTGGCCCAGGCTGGAGTGCAGTGGCGTAATCTTGGCTCACTGCAAGCTCCGCTTCCCGGGTTCACGCCATTCTCCTGCCTCAGCCTCCCGTGTAGCTGGGACTACAGGCGCACGCCACCGCACCCAGCTAATTTTTTGTATTTTTAGTAGAGACAGGGCTTCACCGTGTTAGCCAGGATGGTCTCAATCTCCTGACCTCGTGATCCGCCCGTCTCGGCCTCCCAAAGTGCTGGGATTACAGGCGTGAGCCACTGCGCCCGGCAGCAAGATTAAATTCTTTACCACACAGTACTAATATATCACTTAACTAAAAAATCAAGTTTCATTTCCTCCATGAAATACCTTGACTACTGTGTAGACTGTGTCTATTTCTGTTTTTTATGCATTTCCATTCTACTTAACATCTGTAATATGTGAGCAGACACGTCCTCTGATATGATCTAGTAATTTGGTACCTAATTCGAAGTTGTTTTACATGAAACTTCTTTCTCCATTTGGTTCATCATTTCCCCAAAATAAGGTCCTCTCTTTTGCCTTTCCTTACTGCAGCTTGTAACAGAGACCAGGTATTCAGTAGTTATCTTATTGACTGTCATACCGTGCAAGGAAAATATCTTTCTTACCCATTTAGAAATCATTTACTACTAAGTTCTTTTTAGGTGTACCTGCCAGCATTGTATCCCCTAACTTCAGATAACAGTGTGTAAATGTATACTCAGAAGATTTTAGAGAAGATCGTCAATAAAATATTGACCTCCAAAAATGTGAGTTTTAGTTGGGAAAGCAATATTATATTATCAAATCAAGGACTTTACATAGAATGATCATGTTAAAATCTCAGGTTGTTGGAAAATACCTTGAAGTGAATGTTCCAGACCATAATTTTATTACAATTTCAGACCGACGGGATACTGAAAGGTAGAAAAACTATGTGAAAGCTTAGCCGGGAGCAGTTGCTCATGCCTAGAATCTCAGCATTTTAGGAGGCCAAGACGGTGGATCACTCGAGGTCAGGGATTCGAGACCAGCCAGGCCAACACAGTGAAACCCCATCTCCACTAGAAATTACAAAAAATATTAGCCAGATGTGGTGGCACACACCCATAGTCCCAGCTACTCAGGAGGCCAAGGCATGAGAATCGCTTGAACCTGGGAGACTAAGGTTGCAGTGAGCTGGGATTGTGCCACTGCATTCCAGTCTGGGTGACAGAGTGAGACTCTGTCTCCAAAAAAAAAAAAAAAAAAAGGGTGGGGATCAGGTGCAGTGGCTCACACCTGTAATCCCAGCATTTTGGGAGGCCGAGGTGGGTGGATCACGAGGTCAGGAGTTCGAGACCAGCCTGGCCAACATAATGAAACCCTGTCTCTACTAAAAATACAAAAATTAGCCAGGTGTGGTGGCACATGCCTGTAATCCCAGCTACTCATGAGGCTGAGGCAGGAGAATCACTTGAACCAGAGAGGTGGAGGTTGCAGTGAGCTGAGACCACGCTGTTGCACTCCAGCCTGAGTGACTGAGTGAGACTTTGTCTCCAATAAAAGGAAAGACTATGTGAAAACTTTAAGAAAAATTGGATAGTAGCATATACTTGGAGGTATATGCTTAGGGAGGCAATGTAACTCCAATTACCAATACATATTAGTTTTACATGTCCTAGAACTGCGCAGAAGTGGAATTGTATGATATGTATTCTTTTTCATAAAGCGTACACACTGCAAAATATTTGAGATTCATTCCTGTTGTCATTGTGTATCAGCATTGTTTCTTCTTATTGCTGTGGTAGTATTCGATTGTATAATACATGACACAGTTTTACCTGTTCATCTTTTGATGGATATTTGGGCTGTTCCCAGTATGGGACTATTATAAATAACAATGTAAATCATAGGTAAGATGAATCCATCTTTAAATTGCCCTCCCAAATATGGATGGTAGTAAGGCAACTATAGTAAGATATATAATAATTTTTTTAAAATGATTAAGATTAATCAGTGCTCTGCATATACATCGAAGAATCCAGCCCTTTACAACTCCAACAGGGAATTGCAGAGTTAAGGTGACTGTATTGGGAGGAAAACTCAAACCTATCTTTCCCTAAAGCGAAAAAAGTAATTTGGCAAATTGAAAGAATGAAGTTAGAATTGTTGGTCAGGAGAATTTCATTATTGACCATCTCTGGCAGAATAAACTGATGGTAACAGCAATCAGAATACTATAGTCTCCGGGCACTGTGGCTCACACCTACAATCCCAGAACTTTTGGAACATCACTTGAGGCCAGGAGTTCAAGTCCAGCCAGGGCAACACAGGAAGACCCCCATCTGTTAAAAAAAAAAAAAAAATTAGCTGGATATGGTGGCACACATCTGTAGCCCCAGATACTTGGGAGGCTGAGGTGGGAGGATTGCTTGAGCCCAGGAGGCCAAGGCTGCAGTGAGCCAGGATCACACCACTGTATTCCAGCTTGGGGGACAGAGCGAGACCCTTTCTCAAAAAAATAAAAATGAATTTAAATACATATATATATGTAAAATATGTATACACAACAGTGATTATATTCGTGTTGGAAATATGTTTTGTCTTTTGGTGTATTGGATAATTCCTCATGGGAATATGTTTTCCAGATTCTCTGCTTTCAAGAGAAAATAAATTGCAGTTATATGGACATCTAGGGCCTATACTATAGACTAATGTTTCTGTAAACACTAGGAAATGAGCTGAGAAAGTTCATTTACCATTCATGGGCTCAATGCAAGTGAAGAAGAAAGAATTGGAAGCACTTATAACACTTACTTAGTCATGAGGGGATAAATAATGTATAGCTTTTTGTCTCTTCCTAAATAATTTTCTGTCACATTGCCTATTGTTCAGCACCCTTGGTAGGCTCACTTCAGCAGCTCTGAATCTTCTATTCCAAGGAGAATACCTCTTTCATCATTCTTTCTCTTCTGCTCACTTATCCTTTTTCTGTTGTTGTTCTTTTTTTTTTCTTTTTGAGACAGACTTTCGCTCTTGTTGCCCAGGCTGGAGTGCAATGGCACGATCTCGGCTCACCGCAACCTCTGCCTCCCGAGTTCAAGCAATTCTCCTGCCTCAGCCTCCCGAGTAGCTGGGATTACAGGCATACGCCACCATGCCCAGCTAATTTTGAATTTTTAGTAGAGACAGGGTTTCTCCATGTTGGCCAGGCTGGTCTCAAACTCCTGACCTCAGGTGATCCACCCACCTTGGCCTCCCGAAGTGTTGGGATTACAGGCATGAACCACTGAGCCTGGCCATCCTTGTGTTTCTTATACCTTCTCAGTGCAGCTTATATTTATTTTTTATTTTTTATTTTTTTAATTTTTTTTTTTTGAGACGAAGTCTCGCTCTGTCGCCCAGGCTGGAGTGTAGTGGCACAATCTCCGCTCACTGCAAGCTCCGCCTTCCAGGTTTACGCCATTCTCCTGCCTCAGCCTCCCGAGTAGCTGGGACTACAGGCGCCCGCCACCTCGCCCGGCTAATTTTTTGTACTTTTTAGTAGAGACGGGGTTTCACAGGGTTAGCCAGGATGGTCTCGATCTCCTGACCTAGTGATCCGCCCGTCTCGGCCTCCCAAAGTTCTGGGATTACAGGCTTGAGCCACCGCGCCCGGCGCAGCTTATATTTATAACATGCCAAAGATATGAGTGTTTTTTACTTATGCCAGTTTTTCTTCATTTTAATAGAGTAGCAAGATTTGTATTTGTGTTTATACATTTTCGCTACCAAGAGGTAATTTATTCTGGCCTTTTTGTAGATCAGAGTAGTGAGATAGTCTCACCATAGTTTGTCTGGATGTATACCCAATCCATAGCATTTATGTGAAGACTCACAGTGTTAATTGTATTCTTTTCTAGAAGAAGATGGGAAAACTGAAGATGTCTTAGTGAAGTTCAAAGAATACCAAGACAGGCATTCTAGATCCCTCATATTCATCAATCACAAAAAACTAATTAAGGAGAGAAGTAATATTTATGGTAAAGCACTTACTCTAGGCAAGAACCGTATTTCAAAAACCATACTATGTGAATATAAACCTGATGGAAAAGTTTTGAAAAATATTTCAGAACTAGTCATTAGAAATATAAGCCCCCTAAAAGAGAAGTTTGGGGACAGTACTGGATGGGAGAAATCACTCCTCAGTACGAAGCATGAGAAAATTCATCCTGCAGTGAATCTCCAGAAACAAACAGAAAGAGTTCTCAGTGGTAAACAGGAGCTTATTCAGCATCAGAAGGTTCAAGCTCCAGAGCCACCGTTTGACCATAATGAGTGTGAAAAATCCTTCCTGATGAAAGGAATGCTCTTTACACATACTAGAGCTCACAGAGGAGAAAGAACCTTTGACTACAATAAAGATGGAATTGCCTTCATAGAAAAGTCAAGCCTCAGTGTCCATCCAAGTAATCTTATGGAAAAGAAGCCCTCTGCCTACAACAAATATGGGAAATTCCTCTGCAGAAAGTCTGTCTTTATTATGCCTCAGAGACCACAAACAGAAGAGAAACCCTTTCACTGTCCTTACTGTGGGAATAACTTTAGAAGGAAATCATACCTCATTGAACATCAGCGAATTCACACCGGTGAAAAACCTTATGTTTGCAATCAATGTGGAAAGGCCTTCCGTCAGAAGACAGCCCTCACCCTTCATGAGAAAACACATATAGAGGGGAAACCCTTTATTTGTATCGACTGTGGGAAGTCCTTCCGCCAGAAGGCCACCCTCACTAGACATCACAAAACACATACGGGAGAGAAAGCCTATGAATGTCCTCAGTGTGGAAGTGCCTTTAGGAAGAAGTCATACCTCATTGATCACCAGAGAACTCACACAGGAGAGAAACCATATCAGTGTAATGAGTGTGGGAAGGCATTTATCCAGAAGACAACCCTCACTGTGCATCAGAGAACTCACACAGGAGAGAAACCCTATATTTGCAATGAATGTGGGAAGTCCTTCTGCCAAAAGACAACCCTCACTCTCCACCAGAGAATTCACACAGGGGAGAAACCCTATATTTGTAATGAATGTGGGAAGTCCTTCCGCCAGAAGGCAATCCTCACTGTTCATCACAGAATACATACAGGAGAGAAATCCAATGGGTGTCCTCAGTGTGGGAAAGCCTTTAGTAGGAAATCAAACCTCATTCGCCATCAGAAAACTCACACAGGAGAGAAACCATATGAATGTAAACAGTGTGGGAAGTTCTTCAGTTGTAAGTCAAACCTCATTGTCCATCAGAAAACTCACAAGGTAGAAACCATGGGAATTCAGTAAGTAATGCGGCTTTTTTTGGTAAAAAAATGTTAAGTCATAGTAAACCCTGTAGATGATGTTGCTTGCAAGCATAATAATATCCAACAGTTTAAGGTACTATGCCACATGGTAACCTACTATTTGCCAGCCTGTAAAACACACACACACACACACACACACACACACACACACACACAAATATTATTAGACAAATTACATGACAAAAATCATTAAAAAGTCCAAATTTTTTTATTAGTAGCTTCAGCAGACAAAAAATTCCTCTGTCAAGGTGTTATAAACATTTTAAATCACATTTTCCATTTCAATACATATCCTTTTGTTAATCAGTAATAACTAGTTGGCCAACTGACTGCGGTCCATGGACTATACAGTGAGTAGAGAGGTTCTTTAAAAGAAGGAGGTATAAACTGTATTTCTCATTGCAAATCCAAAATAAAAATTAGTTGTTACCTCCTCACAGTTGACCATGATTCTGACTTTTAACATTACAAATTAGTTTTTACATATTATAAACCTTTCTATAAATTGGATTATCATGCATTCTTTCATGTACGGCTTATTACATTCATCATGTCCCTGAGTCTAATCATTAGTGCATGTGGCAGAAGTTTATTTATTTTTATCCAGTATAGAATTCTATTATATGATTATATCACAATTTATCCATTCTCCTGTTGATGAACTTTTACATTGTTTACAGCTTAGGGTCATAATAAATCATGCTTCTGAGAGCATACTTGTCTTGGTGTACATACATGTATTTCTCTTGTGTATATACTTAGGAATGGAATCGCTGGGTCTTAGTGCATATGTGTATTCAGTCAGATACTGGCAGACGATTCAGAACTTTCACCACATGAGATAATTGACACTGAAGGGAAACAGCTATAAATTTTATCAATATGGTGCTGGTTCAAACCAGAGAATTCTTGCTACAGGGAAACTTGATCAGTGTTATTGTGAAAACTGGGAATGTGAATGAATGTAATATATGTAGAAAGACGTTTAGCCACAGCCCAAATCTTCCAGGCAAATGTCATAAATGTGAGATTACTGTTAGCCACAGTTAATGCCTTATTTGAAGGCAAAAAGTCTACTAGAGAAGGAGAGGCATCCAGCATTTCCCTTTTTCACCATCAGAGAATTCCAACTAGAGAAAAGTCCTGTGAGTGTGTTGAAGTTGGAGCATGGGGAGGAATATAGTCTTTACCTACGGTCTGTATCTTACTGGTCAAGTACAAATGATGAATATGGAAAAGCTTATAGCCATCGTTCATATATTACGCTACACCAGGGAATTCACATAGGATGAGAACTCTTCAAATGAAATGATTGTAAGAGTGACTTTAACTGTTGCTCATTTCTTTTACACCATCAAAGAATTAATACTAAAGAAAGGAAGATTAAAAGGAAACAAATGGTGCTTGGGACTTTGTTTTTTTTTTGTTTGTTTGTTTGTTTGTTTTTGAGAGAGAGTCTCGCTCTGTCACCCAGGCTGGAGTGCAGTGGCATGATCTCAGCTCACTGCAGCCTCTGCCTCCCAGATGCCAGTGATTCTCCTGCCTCAGCCTCCTGGGTAGCTGAGATTATAGGCAAGCACCACACGCATGGCTAATTTTTGTATTTTTAGTAGAGACAGGGTTTCATCATGTTGGCCAGGCTGATCTTGAACTCCTGACCTCAGGTGATCTGCCCGCCTTGGCCTCCCAAAGTGCTAGGATTACAGGGACTTTTAACTCTGGGGAGAGCTGTCTTCCATGAAAGAAGTCTAGCCATACCGAGACTATAATGCTAGGAAGTCTATGTGTAGGCACCCAGCTCAACAGCCACAGCTGAGCTCCCAGCCATCAGCTAGCATCAGCTGCCAACCACCTAAGTGAAGCCTCTTGGACATCCAGTCAAGCCTTCAGATGACTGTGGACCCTGCTGATACCCAACTGGTACCACAAATGAGACCTCAAGCAAGAACTGCCCAGCTGAGGGCTTCCCAAATTCCTGGCCAACAAAATGGTCAGGCTTTTAAACTAAAAACAGTTTTATTTTTTATTTAATAAAAAAGTTTTGGCTGGGCGCGGTGGCTCAAGCCTGTAATCCCAGCACTTTGGGAGGCCGAGACGGGCGGATCACGAGGTCAGGAGATCGAGACCATCCTG